CCTTAGAAGCCAAGATGGCCAGATGGTCTCTTTTGTACTTCTGACAGATTATCTTGGGGGACCAGTCTCTGGAGAATAACATCCCTGGTAAAGTGGAGGGACAGTGAAAAAGACCCCCAATGAGAGATGGATTGGCACGGTGGCAGCAGCAGTGGGCTAAAGTGTAGCAGAATTGTGAGGATGGTACAGGACTGGGTGGTGTTTTGTTCTGTTGTTGGAACTAACTTGATTGTACCTACCAACCACAACAACTAATCCTAGAGAATTTCAGGCCTTGTGCCTTTATTTCTGGAATATCCGTGATAGTTTTCTTTCTGTAGTGGGTGTTTGTGTTTTACCTAGCTGGTGTGTAAGGGATTCTAGCCGAGTTTTAGGGAGCCTCCAAGGCAGGAAGTGTGATGTGGCACTGTGAGTTAATGCGATGGACCACAAGGTTGGCAGCTCAAGCTCAGCAACCACTTGGAAACCCTACACAGGGTCACTATGAGTCAGAACCGAGTTGATGAAACTTGACTTAAAGGAATAACAAATTTTCCTAACATTTCTAATTTTTTCCTAGTTTTCCAGCTGCTGGATTTTCCCAGGCTCCAGAAGCCTCATCAAGAAAGTATGGAAGCCCAGCTGTGGACTGTCCAGTCCAGGGTGAGTTTCGGGTGGCGACTTTCTTTCTTTTTTTCTGGGAACCCCTTTTTGCTTAAGTCCTGAAATTCTTTTGTCCAGGAATTTAAATCTCTACACTGCTCTCCAGGAGACTGTCTGTTTTGTTTGCTGCTTTTGTAGTTATAGTTTTATTTCCTTTAATATGAAGAAAGTATCCCACAACATAAATTTATAAACAATGTGGGGAAACTTACAGGAGAAAATGTCCAGAGTTCTGATAAGATGTTCCTGTTTCTTACACACTAAGGAGTCTAGCCCACAGCAGGCTTCCTCCCCTAGAGATGATGAGCTTAAACCAAACCAACCCTGTAGCCATTCGATCGATTCCAATTCATAGCGACCTATAGCAACTTTGATGTTATTTTTAAATTGTGAATTGAGTGCAAGTTTACAGGACAGATCATCAGTTTTACATTAAACAAATCATGTACTTTGTTTCTTTACAATAGTTATAAGGAGTGTCTAATTATTTTGGAAGCAGGCCACACTTCCAAGGAAACATCTTTTCAGTGGATTGGCTGTCCATAGCCAATCACATTTAACTATGCCAGTTACCATAGTGCTTAGTACATTGCTTATACCCAATCATCATAGCGTTAACTACAATGTATTAGACCTCACCATGGGGATAACCACATCACAACCTCCAAACCACTGGGAATCCTGACCCAGTCAAGCTGACACAAAACCTTTATTATCATAGGGAGCGCATGGGACCATGTGATCTAATGATCAACCAAGGCATGAAGAGTCCGGAGGAAAACGGAGCCTTGGGAAACAGAGCTACTTGGATCCTCTGGGGTGGGAGACTCAGCTAGGGACACTTAGTTGCTTCTGTTGGGTTCCATGCTGATGCTTATGAAGGTTGACAGTGGAACGGAGTGTCCCAAGCCTGGTGTTCTTTGGCCAATCTATAGAGGGCTCAGCCCCAAATTGAGGTGACTGGGTAGGTGTTTGTTGTGTGCATTTAACACCAAGAGTGTGACTATGTTAGGGATTCAGGAGAAAAATTCCTGACATGACATTTAAGTCAAGATCTGAAAAGGATGACTTGTGATTGTCTAAATAAATGAGAAAACAGGCTTTGTGTAGGCTCACTTTTTTATGAGAGCATGGCCTATATAAAAAATTTAAAGCAGTTCAGAGTAACCTAAACTTAGGAAGCAGAGGGAGGATGATGGGCAGTTCAGTCCTTCTGGACCCGTTAAGAATTTTGAACTTTAAAATCCTTTGCTAACTGCAACATGGATTCTATGTTTGTTTGGGGTTGATGGGATTCCCCAGAAAGTGTGTGCCCAGTTATATCAAAGCTAAGAACAGAGGTCAGACAATACAAAGTGTAAATTTATGAGGTAGAGCTGATGAGCTTGCAGAGAAGGCTGGGCCTGAGTCACCTGTGTTGTGGAAACTGGGTGCATGTGGCACCTGGAAGACACTACTTCAGACATGAGAATATGCACAGAAGTGCAACATGCTACTGAGGAGCCAGGCTATGTCAGTGAGGAAAGGAGTTGTTGTTGTTAGGTGCCATCGAGTTGGTACCAATTCATAGTGACCTTATGCACAGCAGAACGATACACTGCCTGATCCTGGGCCAACCTCACTGTCATTGATTGCCACGCTTGAGTCCATTGATGCAGCCACTTTGTCAATCAATCTTGCTGGGGGTCTTCCTCTTTTTCTCTGACCCTCCACCTTACCAAATATGATATCCTTCTCCAGCGACTGGTCCCTCCGGGCCATATATCCGAAGTATGAGACACGAAGTTTGGCTATCTTGGCCTCCAAGGAGCACTCTGGCTGCACTTCCTCCAAAACGGATCTGTTGGTTCTTTTGGCAGTCCATGGCACTTTCAGTATTCTCCTTCAGCACCATAACTCAAAAGCATCAATTCTTCTACGGTCTTCCTTATTCACTGTCCAGCTTTCGCATGCATATGAGGTTATTAAAAATACCGTGGCTTG